AGTGTAATTTCAGTCTACTCCCGATGAACTGGGAGAGGGCTGAGCAGAGTGAGGGATGCAAGGGTAAACCAGTTCCTTGGCAATATTCCTGGGGGAGCCTCCTTGTCACAGAGCTGGCAGGAGAGAGAGAAGCACCAGCTCAGAGGATGGAAGTCAAAGCCTAAATGAGCCCTTGGTCCCAATGTTCTTGAAAGCCTGGTGTGGTCAGTTGAAAGAGAAGCTGTCACGTCAGAGCAGCAAGCAGTTCGTCCTGGGAAAGTGAACACTTGGAAAGGCATTGGGGGCAGTTGGATCCTTTGCTCTGGGCACAGAATGCGGCATTTGGTTACGTGTGTGCGAAGCAGAAACTATGCTCCCAAAGGCAGAGATTCAAGAGCTGTCCTGTGGGCAGTGTGAGTGGTGTAGACAGTGCAATGGTGTAGGTGGTGCGAATGGTGCAGACACAGTGGACGGTGTGGACAGCATGGGTGGTGTGAATGGTGTAGACAGTGCGGACGGCGTAGGCAGTGTGGACGGCATGGATGGTGTGAATGGTGTGACAATGTGGATCGCGTAAGTGGTATGGACGATGTAGGTGGTGTGAATGGTGTAGACAGTGCAGACGGCGTGGGTGGTGTGGACAATGTGGCGGTGTGGACAGTGTAGGGGGTGTGAATGGTGTAGACAGTGCAGACGGCGTGGGTGGTGTGGACAATGTGGCGGTGTGGACAGTGTAGGGGGTGTGAATGGTGTAGACAGTGCAGACGGCGTGGGTGGTGTGGACAGTGTGGTGGTGTGGACAGTGTAGGTGGTGTGAATGGTGTAGACAGTGCAGACGGCGTGGGTGGTGTGGACAGTGTGGTGGTGTGGACAGTGTAGGTGGTGTGAATGGGGTAGACAGTGCAGACGGCGTGGGTGGTGGGGACAATGTGGCGGTGTGGACAGTGTAGGGGGTGTGAATGGGGTAGACAGTGCAGACGGCGTGGGTGGTGGGGACAATGTGGCGGTGTGGACAGTGTAGGGGGTGTGAATGGGGTAGACAGTGCAGACGGCGTGGGTGGTGTGGACAGTGTGGTGGTGTGGATAGTGTAGGAGGTGTGAATGGTGTAGACAGTGCAGATGGCGTGGGTGGTGTAGACAGTGTGGTGGTATGGACGATGTAGGTGGTGTGAATGGTGTAGACAGTGCAGACGGCGTGGGTGGTGTGGACAGTGTGGTGGTGTGGATAGTGTAGGTGGTGTGAATGGTGCAGACAGTGCAGACAGCATGGGTGGTGTGGATGGTGTGGTGGTATGGACAGTATGGCCATGTGGACAGTATGGGCAGGAGGCGAGGGGCCACATCTCAACACACAGCTTCCACGTGTTTCTCTTCTCATCTGGTCGGCCCATACCACACCTGCACATGTTACATCTGCTTGGAAGCGAGTGTCCTACTGAAACAAATGATCCTAGGCCAAGTTTCTCACGGGGACTGTCGGACAGCATTGAGTGCTGTCTGGGGACACAGGTACCACCTAGTGGTACAGAGCTGGAGAAATATTCTCTTATTTTCTTGGAACCCCCTGGGCACCTTGAGAAACAAGGCTTGGGGATCATCTGGAGAGACGGCCCTTGGTGTAGACATGGATGGATAAGAGGGGACAGTGTGGAAGATCTGGGTGACGGGCCCCATGGGCACAAGTGAGGGCCCCTCTCTGGGTCACCCCAGAAACACTGGGTGGGGGTGGTATTACATCAGGACCAGGACACTCCGACAGAGTCATCTGCTTGGCTTTCTTCTGCAGCCGGAGGCCCTGGAGACAGTGGCTTTACAGAACACATTTGCACAGAGACTTTCACATGACAACTGTCAAAACAGCCCAACAAGTGCTGTGACCTCGGTTACCAAGTGGAATGAGCTTTAAGAAGCTTCAGCAGCCTGTTCAAAGTCACCCAGCTGCTGGCCGTGAAGCTGGACCTTACTTCTGGGCCTTCAGACTTCAAGTCAGAGACTTTTTTCTTTTATGGCGCCCAGCCACCCAAAAGTGGGCTTCTGGACACCAGCCGTCCCTACTGCTGGCTGCCCTCTTCCCTGCTCAGGGCAGCACACACTCTCCCCACCAAGGGCCTCAGGGTAAAACGCACTTTCTCCAGGGAGCCGCTCTGCTCTGCAGGGGTGGAGGTGCCTGTGACTTCAGAGCTCTGCTCTCCTGAAGCACACGGACATTTTGTTTGGATACCTACAGGTGAGCCTGGACCTACTTGGTGGGAGGAAGTCACAGGACATGTACAACAGAAACAAGAATTTGGGAGCTGGCGGCCCACCAGCAGCAGGGATGGCCTCCAGGGTTTTTCTGAGAACAAGGTATAGGCCGGGCCTTAGAAGCTTGCCCAGGTGGCAAGGCCCAGAATGTTTGGGACAATGGCCTCTCATACTGTTCTCATTGTGGCTCATGCAATCTCTGCTGTGAGCCTGAATTCCTGTTCATCCTTCTCTCTCTTTCTTGTTTGTCCCTCCACACCTCCCCACTGAGACTGACTTTCGCAGCGATGACGCAGATACCCAGTTAGTGCACCTGAGTCCCCGCGTCTGCCACAGTAGAAGGAATTATTCGCCCTCAGCATAAGAGAGAGACACAACGGAAAAACACATTAACTGTGCAGAACACCACCACACACGCTGTATATTTGAACAGGCCCCACTTCTGGCCTCTGTGTATGGACTCCATGGCTGGATGTGACATAGAGCTGCTGCTCCATGATGAAGGTTGTGGAGTTGACGATAGGACACTGGTGTGGGGGACCACTCCTGCCATGATGTAGCAGGGAAATGGATGTCAGCAAGCAAACAAGCAAACAAGCATGATGTCAGGGCTAATATTGGTAGAAAGAATAATAAAGTGAGGCACAATGACAAGTCAAGGAGATATAGGTGGCTTTGGGGCAGATGCCACCTGAGATGAGTGGTCAGGAAAGACCTCTAGAAGGCTCCATTTGGGCAGTAGCCTCGGCAGAGGACACGGGCCAGGTAGGTCTCCAAGACAGAGAATTCTGAGCAAACAGAAGAGTGGGTGGGAAATGCCCACGGAGCCTATACACTTCACGACATGTCTAAATGAGCTCAGTCAGTTTCAGGTAAGAGGCCAGGTGTTCCAGAGGTTGCAAAATGCAGAGTGCTCAGTACCTATATTAAGGGTTCAAATAGCACCCCTGGAAGGCCCCATAGGCACCATGCAGATGGGGCCTGGCCATAGTCCTGCTGGGGGCTATGAGACCAGGCGACTGAGAACCAGCAGGGGGCCTCCGCGTCTCCCCGGGAAGTCACCCCGGAGGCTGGGTTTGTAGGCCACGTAGGAGTAGTCAGTGCCTAGCAAGGGATTATGTACCCTACGGAAGGCAGGCGGTGAGGGGTTAGGCTTCAGAGTGTCCCGGGCCTGTTCATGCTTCACAGTGGCTATAACATTGACTGTCACTGGCCGGGCTGGCAGGATCTGCCCCTGCCAACCTTGCCCCCATCCCCATGCTCCAGCCACAGGCCAGTGACAAAAGCAGACTTCTGCAACTCACTAGAACACCACCGAAGAGAAAGATGGAGGTGCCACAGTGACTCCAACCACCCGGGAAGGCCACCTTGACACTGGATACAGATGGTCCTGTCCCTTGGCAAGGAGATCCTCGAGGGGAGGTGGAGTAACAAGGGGACACAGTTTGAGGTCACTGCCACCCAGATCACCCTCTGCTCTGATCATCTGACTCCGCGTGGAATCCCCTGGGAGAGGACAGGCATGGCTGTCTCCCCCCCGACCCAGTCCTCCCTGTAAGGAGAGTCCTGGCCTTTTCGTTTATGTCTTTTATGTATGCCATCCACCACCCACCAATGACTATGACAAAGCTTACGTTTCCCCTGCAGGCATGGCCTTGGGTTCTCGTGTGGGCAGGGTTGGCATGTGTGCTCCTGGGTTGGGGTATAGGAGCGAGTCCACAGGTCAGCCACCTGGCACTTAAGTCAGGAGCCATATGGTCCAGGGGTCCGGGCCCTGGCATGCTGATGTCTTGGCTTCACCCTGGCCACTCTCAAACCAGCCCAGTTGGGATCAGAGAGCAAGGCAGGGTGAGGGGTGTAGCCCACCACTCAGCTCTCCTTTAGGGGTGTGCTCCCAGGCACCTGGCAGAGGGGCTCAGGGAGCTCCATCTAGAAACCCCGTCTGAGTCACACTGTCCTGAAACAAGCCAGGTGGCCAAGATTACACTGCAGCTGGTGGCCCAGCAGGGGGTTCAGGTAGGAGGGAGGACAGCACCCCACTCGCAGACCATTTGGGGGATGTCTGATGAGCAGTGGCTCCTACAAGCTTGCACATGCACCTAGTGGGCCCAAATGCGACGTCCCCCCGCCAACTTCCTCCCCCCCAACCCTTGTTTCCCAGGTGCCCACTCCCTCACCCCCCAGGTGCTGACCTTTTATCTGTGGACATTCCAGAGTCATGAAATACGACACAAACACACAGAAGACTGGCCGGCCGCATCCATGCCAAGGTGTAGAGTGCTACCAGGATCCTACAGCTCTGCTGCTCTTGCCTGACCCCTCTACCCCACCCCGTGTCACGCAGTCCCCACCACCAGCCTTCGGGGACAGCATGGTTTCACCTCTCCTCATGCTCGTCTGCATAGCCTCCACACAAGCTTTGGTTGTTTTGAACTCTACGTGAGCGAGCCGTGCTCTCGGCTTCTGTGAGTGGGGCTCCCTGCTCCACTGTGGGCAGCTGCCGTAGTCCCATATCGGCTGTTGAGCTGCATCATATGGACACAGGCCACCAGGTGTTCTGTGATGGGGGTTGTGTTGTTTTTGGTTCAGGGCTACTGCTGCTACACACCTTTCTTCAGGGAGGCACGTCCTCATGTGTCCAGGGACAGTGAGGCCCCAGGAGGGACGGGCTCAGAGGAAGGCACCAGGCCCGTTGGATGAGAAAGCCGTCAGCCTCCCCGTCTCCCTGCACCCTCTGCCCTGAGCCTGGGGGCCACAGACATAGCTGGAAACATAGATGCATTTTCAAGGTTTTATTGTAAAACAAAGAGAGCTTAAGTCACAAGGGGCAGAAGACGCTCCACTCGACATATACGACCCACCTGTGAGCACCTGTTGAGAGTCAAGCACGTGCTCAGCCCTGCGACGACCTGAGACACATGCAAGTCACAGTCCCTAATCTAGTCTGGGGGGGACAGACAGACGCACACGCATCTCTCCAAAAAGCCTGAGTCAGAAGTGCTGAAATGGCCAGGAGCAAGTCAACCCTGAGGAGGTCAGAAGGGACTGGGGCCAGCTGCACTCTGCTTTGGGGACTGGAGCTTTGGGGGCGCTGCTGGCAGCCATGAGAGGTCTGGAGTGGAGATGGTGCTCAGGACCAGGGCAGCAGGGTCTAGACTCAGGGAACACTTAGGAAAGAAAGAATTAGGGACCAGCTCGGAGTGTGTGCTTTCATTTTTACAGGTTAGGCCATCACAAAAACAAGGAAGAAAAAGGAAAAGGAGACCTGCTCTCTCTACTGTCTCACAGGCACAGGACGTCTTCCACCCCTAGGAAGGATGCCATCACCAAGCGAAGAGCTCTCATTCAGATTGCTTGGGATGCGCTCCCACAAACACCAGGAAGCCCTTGCCTGCCGTCGAGCCACAGACCTGGAACTACTGCTTCCCACAGTTTGCAAAACAAGGTTGGGAGCCACTTGGTGAGAGGTAAGCAAGTGGCTTGAGGGAATGGGGGGAGGGTGGACAGGAGAGCAGAGGACGTCACACTGGCCAGGAGGCCTAGGTGTTCCCGGGAAGGCATGGATGACACTGAAGGGCTTTGAGCTGCGCTGGTTCAAGCTGCCCCTTAGAAAGGCTACTGCAGGGGCAGATGAGGGGCTGGACAAGGGTCCCAATGCCAGGGCTCCCATAGCCCCTGTGCTGGCAGTGGGACGGGGTGGCAGCTCCTCTAGTCTTGCTGGAAGTAGAACTTGGTGACAATGACGGCCTCCTCGGGCCTATTGGTGAGGCTGACGGGCTGGTCTGCCTCCAGTGCCGTGCATAGAAACCAGCCCGGGCAGGCAGCAGACTCAAAGCTGGTGGTGGTGCCGCTGTCCGTGCGAATGAAGGTGAAGCGCTTGCCCTGCTCCTGGGTCCTGCTCAGGTCAGTGATGTCGACTTCCTGGGAGCCGGAGTAGACAGGTGAGGGCTCCGGTGCCACCTCCCCCTACCCCACACTGGGGTCCAGGCACCCCACAGGACCCCACAAGTCCAGGCCTTGTAGGACAACAGCCACATAAAGAGGCTGCGGCATTGTCACACCCTGGCTCGGGAAAGTCTGGCCACTCTGGCCAGGGGTCCGTGAGTCTAGTGAACACACAGCACATGAGCAGAGGCAGTGCCTCAGTATGGCCACTGTGGGTTAAGATTTGGTCCATAAGCTCCTGAGACAAAGCTGTCTGTCCCCACTGCGGGCAGCCCATCATCCTGCACGGGGCCAAGGGGTACGGGGCCCCAGGTGAGGGGGACAGCCCATGGGTCTGAGTCGACAAGGACTGAGGAGGGCCTAGACAGGACTTCATTGGAGGAAGGAACATCTAAGGGGGAGCCCTGGGACAAGAGAGTGGCACACAGAAACTGAGGGCCCCACAGGAACCTCCTCCTGGTGCTGACCCCATGTAGCCCCTCCCCCGCTGAGGCTAGACTCAGCCATGTGACACAGGCTTTGGCCAAGGAGACATTAGCAGTGTGATGCAAGCAAGCGTTTCATAAGTGTTTGTGGTTCTGGAATAATCCCCCTTAGAAACCAGCAGCTGTGCTGTTGGGAGGTACAAGCTGCCCCCAGAGCTCTGGGTGGCCATGCAGAGACAGCCTGAGGGAAGGGAACCGTCCGGACGCCCCAGGGCCCGCCGAGCCCCAGCACCCCATGTGGAAGGGAAGGGCCAGGTCCTAGCTGGCCCACGAGCCATGAGGAAGAACATGAGTGACTGCTGTCTGGGCGAGTCCTCACCTCCAACTGCAGCCTGATCTCGTCTCCCACCTTGACACAGGACAGGCATAGCTTCCCTCCATGGATCCCCAGGAGCATGGCATGCGGCTCAACCGGCACCACATTGAGCTTCTCTGAGGGGAGCAGAGCAAACGGTCAGGCTGTGGGGGTGGAGAGGCCAAGACAGCCAACAGTTGGCCTCTCCCTGGGCTTGTTCTGCCCCTGACCTAAAGCAAGGTCATCAGACCAGCGGGGCCCATCTTTCTGATCTGCACCCAAACAGAAGACCAGACAAGCACATATCTAACTGCTCTCAGACACCTGACTCCGGCCAACTGGTGTGTGGCCCACGCTGGGAATCACACACAAGTCAGAATGGGACCCAAGATGTGGTGGCTTTGAGCCGCCTGTCCCTCCATGGCCTCTGGGCCGCCAGTAGAAATGGGAGGCCAGCCTGTCTATGCCATGCGCTCATCGTGGGAGTGGGGCATCAAAGTCCAGGCACAGGGATACGGGCCCGGCTAGGCACAGGTTGGTGCATAGGCTCCATCTGGTCCCCCCAGCCTCAGCTGTGGCCCTGGGACCACCGTGCCTACAGGTGGTGGCTCCTAGGCTCTGCCCCTCCCTGCCCTCTTGGGACCTCCCTCAAATGTGGCCCTTAGAGGCCGGGCTTCCCCAGCAGGGTCAAGATGTCACACAGAGGCCGCCATACTGCAAATCCAGGCAGGGTGACCCAGAGCCCACATCGGTGTTCCCAGCTACCTCTCACCTTCTAACTTAGTGTTTTGTCCTTGCAAGTATCCGGCAACGAGCTGATTATTTCTCAGGTAGAAGGTCTTCTGGTTAACGTCCCAGATCCTGAAACATAAAAGGGCCGCTGTGGTGGACAGCACTGGGCCCGGCCCCAGTGTCGCTTTCATACGCCTATGGCAGGAGAAGTACACAAGGGTCAGCCCAGGCTCTCCCACTCCTCATCCTCAGGTCCCAGGAGGAGCCCTGGACTTGGGCCCTGAGCAGCACCAGCCTGCAGGCCCTCCAGGTGCACACACATTCTGCCTGCCACCCCATGTGGCAGCTGCCAGCCTTGCATGGCCATTGAGCCTTAAAATGCAATGTGACTGAGGGTCCGAATTTTTTAATTTTATTCTGTTTTTATTCATTTAAATGTAAATTTAAAGAGTCATTTTAGGCTAGCAGCCACCACAACACAATGTTGGAAGTTTCAAAGGACAGAGCACCTTACAGTAACTCACTCTGTGTCCAGGGAGTGGGGGTCTGTCCCAAAGCGTGTCTTCTATCCACCAGGGGCCGGCAGGGGCAGCTTCCTGTCCAGCTCATCCAGTGGCCTGTTTCTGGCCCTCAGCCTTTTCCTCTTGGGGCCCCACTGGTTGTGAGATTGTGTGACCCTCCATGTCCTGCTACCTCCAGCCTACCCTGGACCTGGGCCTGACTCCTGTCCTGGAAGTGTGGCTGACAACACCTCTTACCCGGTAGCTGCAAGGGACCACGAGTGTGGAGAAGTAGTTGGGCAAACTGTAAAGCTCTTCGCACAGGTGAGCATTTGACCTTTTGTAATATCTCCCAGTTCCAGGTGAGCGCCTCTCTGACGGGACTAAAGAGCCCCTCCTGGAGCCACCAGCAGATGGGGATGGAGAGCCCACCTTCCCACATGAGAGGGGCGCACCTGCCCCGTGCAGAGTTTGACTCGCTGTTCAGGCCAGAGGGCGAAGTCTCTGGACATGCTCAGGACTGGCTAACAGGGTGGAGGGCAGACGCAGACACACGGTGGCCTGTCATTTTCACAACAGTAATGGTGACATCTCGCAAAGCCTCTGACCCAATATTTAAAATTCATAATAGTTTTGGGCACTTTACAGTTCACAGAGCACTGTCACACTGTTATCTTCACGACCACCCTACAAGGCAGGCGGAGGGCCATCCTGAACCCCATGTCACAGTGGGGAACCTGAGGCTCCAGGGGCCAGGACGCTCCAAGGTGTCGTCAGCACAGATACACATCACTAACCATCACCTAGAGCTGGGGGCGGCCCTGCCCCTGGCACCCTCTCTGCTTCTTTGCCGGGCACACTAGGCATAAACCCCGCCTTGGATCCTGGCCACATGCCTGTCTGTCACCTGCTGAGTTGCTCGGGTCTCTGGGAAGTTGGCTGGGCCCCCAATGCCAGCTAAGCATAAGCACAAGTTCAGACGGCCCCGCAGTGGCAGTCCCTTCCCAGCACCCTCCCCAGAGGGCTATGCCGTGTCCACCCTGCCCGCACCGGCCCTACCTGAAGGCTTGCATCTCGCTGGGCCTCTTCCCTGAAGGGCGGCAGGCTGTCTCTGCAGGGAACAGGAAGAGGAGGAGGAAAATGAAGTGGCTGGGGCTGCAGATCCCCATCCTGTGGCAGCACTGGCAGTGAGGACTGCCATTTCGGGCCCAGAGGAGCTGCTTATAAAGAAGATAGTCCCTCACCCGGACCAGCCACTGCGCCCTGCCCCACTCAGAAACGGAAATTCCTCACATTTCCAAAAAGAGAAACCTCGCTGTTGTCACCGTCGGCCCTGCGGGTGTCGCAAGTCGGTGTCGTAACTGGCCTGCCTTTTCCCCAGGAGGGCAATTTCCGCAAAACGAAGATTTCCATTTCCCTGCACTGAGCTCCCGGGCAGGACAAGCACACGGGACCCTACCCGGGGCCTCATCTGCCCACAGGTGCCCTGGGGCTGTGTGTTGACTTAAAAAACAGATCTGAGTAGAAATATCTGAGGGGCAGGGCCCCAGCACAGGGACGGTCTCATGTCACATTGTGTCCTTTGAAGGGCGGACAGCCTTGCTGGACTCTGGACCAGGGACTGTGACCATTCTGTAAAAAGAACCAGGTGGCAGATGGGGTAGGGCTTGAGGCCACGCCACCCCATGATTACCCAGCTCAGCATCGCAGCTTGAACACAGCCAACAATCTGTCAACGGACAGGCTGCTTGGGTTCCGTCTGACTTTATTTACAGAAACGAGTGGTGGTAGCTTTCCCTGGAGTTTTCTGACTCCGGTTCCCGAGCCAGTGTCCTGGAAGGGACCTTGACACCAGCTCTGTCCCTGTTGTCCATATCTCTGAGGTTACGGTCTTGGGAACGTTAGGGTGAGCTCAGCACTGGGACAGAAATGGATCCAAATTCTACCTCTGCCACTTGAGGCCTGGGTGGCCTTGAACAAGTCACCTCACTGGGAGGGAAGGGGGGATACTGGTTGGAAGGGACAGCTGTGGCCCACAGTAGACATGAGCAACACTCGTTCCTTCCCCACTACATTCTAGAGCCTTAGGAAGAGGTCAGCACCCTCCTGATTGTGGACAGAACAAAGGCAAAGAGGGCCCCGGGTGACTGTGACCAGGGTGCTCATGCCAGGACAGAAGCAGATTGTGGCGTCTCAGGACTGCTTGGGAGCTTGGCCACCCCCCACCCCTGCTGTCTCACCCTGTCACTGCTGGGAGAAGACCCAGAAAGGCCCAGGAAGGGAAGGACGCAGGGGCCCTAACTCTTGGCCGGGGCCTTCCTCCTGCCGCAGCCAGTGTGGTGAGCCTGATGGTTCTCCAAGTGAGTTGGAGTCTGCGCCCGAATGAGGGGTGAGCCATTGAGGAGGACGGCCAAGCTGCATGGCTGAGGGCGGCTGAGGGAGGACACCCTCGAGGTTCTCATCACAAGAAAAAAATGACATGACTACGTGTGGTGACGGGCAAACCACTGCATTCTGCCCTCGAAACCAATACGCCATGTCAGTCACATCTCAATAAAAAATAAATGAGAGGAAGTTCACACAGGAATCCAATTTCTAAAGAGTCCCTCGTCAGAGCAAATGGAACATTTCTGCAGAAATCAAGTCACTTCCCCGGTTGTCTGAATAGAGGGGCAAATGGCTCGTACACATCCCTGCTCTGTTCTCACGTGTGACCTGGAGGGAGTCATCTGCCAGGGGAGTCATCTGGGAGTCATCTCCCAGAAGCACACGTGAGAAGAGAGCGTATCTACCTTTGTGGCGTGCTCTGTTGTCTCTGTTGGTTCTGTTGTCTCTGTTGGTTCGGGAGGACTGCTTGAAGGAGGAGGTGTGTGTGAGCCCACAGTCAAGGTCTTGCCCACAGGGCATCTCCTGGGAACGCCGCTGTCCCCAACCCGAATTCAGCATGGAGGCTGGTGTCCCCACCTTTCCCAAATCTGTGCCTTCACCTGTTGTGCCTACAGGCCTCCCTGGGTCTGAGGATGGCTGTCCCCAGGACCGAGCTTGAAGCCAGGCGACTGGGCTGCATCCTCCCATGTCCTTTATGAGCTGGACCACCCAGAACATGTACACGGGCTCTCTTGCTCATGGCTTCTCTACTGCTAACTAGGGCTAATAACAGAAGCCGTGTGACAGTGACTACCAGGACGGCACTGTGCGTGCTGTGCTGAGCCCTGACCTTGACATGCAGGAAATGCTCAAACAATAGACGGCTGCTGTGTGTGCCCTTCATCCCAGGTGAGGTGGGCAAGGTCGGTCACACGCCCCTGACCCAGTCAACCCTTCCCTTGCCCCCGGTGGGGAGGGGAAGCCCCTGGCCTATCCCCACGCCTCTGGCCACAGCTTGACTCTTGGTTTCGTCCCAAGGAGGCTGGTGGCCCTATGACTTCTCAGTACGGGAAGTCTCTGACTCAACTCATTCTCAGTTCTGCTGCTCAGCCCCTCACTCTGCTTCCCGAATCAAGTATAATGGGCTCAGCCCTCCCTGCTGGGCCCCATTTTTCCCTCTGAGCTCCAGGCACCACGATTGTGTCTGGTGCCGTCCACGTGCCAAGCCCTGCCCAATTAGACGTTAGTGACAGCAGAAGCGACCAAGTCCCACTTGCACTAAAATAGGAAACCCGGGCCATCCATTTCCCAGGGGTGACACTAGGCAAGGGCATGGAGGCCACAGGCTTAGCCTCCACTGTCAACTCCCGCACAGCGTTCAGCACATACATGCCAGCTCTTTCTCAATTTCAGTTCATTGCATCTCTCAGTTCTAGAATTTCCATTAGGTTCCTTTTTTGTATATTTTCTAGTTCTCTGCCAAAAGTTTTGATCTTGTCTTTTAAATCCTTGAACATGTCACTTGTGGTTCTCATAAAGGCTGCCCCTCCCCGGCTTGAACCCACCAGGTCCTCTCCTGCTGTATTTTCCTCCGGTGAACAGGCCACCTGCTCTGTGCCCAATTACATCTTACTTCTAGACTCTGCACAGAGAGCACTACAGGGATCATATGAGGCTTGGGTGACGTCTTTATCCAGAGGAGACCATGCTGGCCTCCACTGGGTAGGGAGGCCAAGGCAAGGCAGCCCAGGTACCCTCACCCCAGCGGGGCTAAAGGCCATTCAGTGGCTGTGCTAGCCACTCACACCTGACCGCCTGGGGTCCCAATCCAAATCTGGGGGTCCATTGGACCTTGCTCCTCAGTGGGAGATAAAGCACAAACTTTTTCACCAACCACCCCGAACCTCCCAATGCTGCCAAGCTTAGCGGCAGCCTTAGAATCTGGCCAAGGCTTCTGGGGTGAAGGCCGAGGCTCGGCTCCACCTCCCGGCCATTCTTTGAAGCCTCAGATTTTCAGCAATGCGTTTTTTCTGGCGTTACTAGGTACCAAGCAGGAAGGCTGGTCCTAGACAGCCTGCGCCAAATGAGGAAACTGACATGTTGTGTTTTTTGAATCTGATTATTCATGGTGTTGGAGTTAAAGCAGCATTTGGGGCAGGAGCCAGAGGAGGAAAGGCAGGGAACTTAGCTTAAAGAAAAGTGAACCAGAGAGTGACACTGTCAGATTCATTTTAAGGTTGCCCTGGGCACAGTGGACAATGGTGACACCAGGTTGTGGTCTGGGGGACCGAGCCTGGAGGCAAAGCAGCAGGTGCTGACTAGTGTTACAGCTGGGTTTCAAAAAAAGAGTTCCGATTTGTAGCATTCGCTGGTTCCTCCATTGTGAGTGCTTTCACCACGGACAATTTCGAGCCACCAACATGACATCACTGAGTGCAGTCGGGGAGGGACACATACAGTCAGACCCCGCTGGCTCCAGCGCCCCACAGAGGGAGGAAGAGGGGACTGCTCCCAGACTTTCCAGAAAGAAACCTTCCCATGTCCCAACTCCAACCTCCCACCTTATCAGCCCACAGGTCCTGTTCCCTTGCAGAGAACAATCCCTCCTGATAAATCCAGTTTATCAGACACCCTCAATGACCTTCGATTCAGCTGTGCCTCCTGGAGCTGCATCTGTGTCACCCTAGCTCTGTTGGTAAGAAGTTAAGCTGCTGTTTCGGGTAGACAAGTGTGCCCCTTAAATTGCATGGCTGAATCTTGCCCTTGGACTCCTGTGTGCCTGAGTGTCACAGCACACAGCACACAATATGGGCAGTTGTCCCATCTTGTAGAGTTTTGCTGAGATAATAGTGTAGAGGCTCTAGTTACTCTTTCTAAGACGTGGGTAACAAACTGGTATGCAGAGGAGGAAGAGGGATAATGTAGCATGACATCTCTGTCATCCGCACCTGCCCAGCCCTGCTGAGGGCCGAGTCCACCTCGGCCAAATCAACAGCAGGTCAGGTTTGGAGACAGGCTCTCCTGGGAACCGCTGCCCACCAAACAACCACATGGGGTGACCAAGTCTGCCCTCTGGCCGCTGACGAGCAGTCAGGAGACTGTGTGTAAAGTCAATTGTCACCTTCACTGCTGGACAAGGAGGCTGCTCTCCCCGGGCCTCAGGGCTCACCTGGCTTAGTCCTCCAAGGCAATTTAGCCCAGTAACTCCGGGGTCAGGTGTGTGTCTGCACTGAGAGCCACTTTTATATACTTATCTTGCATGTCTAGACATACACGTTTGCTCTTGCTGTCTTGGCTCTGGGGGCAAGCCTTATTGGGCAGCTTCTCCACAGGCAGGAGAGGGACAGGAACTGGGAAGGGGACAGCCATGTGTCTTACCTGCTCTGCTCGGGCCCTGTGGCCTCCTCTCTTATGCAGATCTCTCTTGGTCCTCCCAACACAACAATAACAAGCTGTGCCAGGCAGGCATGTTTGCACCCACTCTTGAGATGTGTGAGTACTTGCGCTCACTTTGTAGAATAAGAAATCAAAGCTCCAAGAGACTAACTCCCTTGCCCGTTCCAGGCCAAGGCAGGGTCTGAACCAGGTCCCATGCTGCCCTCTGCATGGCCATCCTGCCAGGCGGCTGCCGCTTCTCCTCTCTGCTCCATCGCACCATTCCCGAGAGCAAGAAGGGTGCTCGTTCTTACGAGATAAACTCACATCGAACAGGGCAATGGTTTGTTCCACCAATACTTCGAAATTTTGGGAGGTTTTTTGGTCAAAATGAAAGGACAACCCCAAAGCCTCACATGGGTTGAAGAGAAAGCTCTCCATGTGCTCGCAAGCTGGG